GGACGCCATGCCACTCTGATTTATTGACCACTTAGCGTTGATGAAGCTGCAAACAAGAGTCAAACAGATGTTGCAGCTGCATTTTTCTTTATCAAAACCAAGGTCTTTTTGCATTTTTAACCACTTCTTGGGTGGCTGTCCTGCTTCCTCCACAGCAAGGGTGCTGGCTGGCTCTGGACCTCCTCCTCTCTGGTGGTGGCAGGGGAGACAGGGCTGGGGCTTTGGGACCCCACCCGGCCTCCAGCCACCAAGCATCCACCCCAGGAGTGTCCAAGAGGAGGACTCAAGAGCCCCAGGGCTAAAATTTGAGTCCCCTTAKCGGGTCTCCAGTGAAGAGCTTTCGCTGTGCCCCCAGCTGACCCCAGGATGTGATACACACACCCTGGGTGGCTCAGCTTGGAGGACCTGCTCAGCTTCTCCCTGCACATAGAACCCCTCTCCCACCTCCGTCTCAAACCCGTTACAGATTACGGAACACCCATTTAGCAGGCCACGTTGGTGGCCTTAAACGTGAGTGCTGGCTGGGGGTCAGGTCCGCCCTGAGCCCTTACCTGCCTCACCTCCCAACAAGGTTAAGGCCGTGCTAAAGGACAGGCGCCAAGGCTGGAGAGGTCAGCTGCCAGCCCCTGTGTCTGCTGCACCCCTTTCTCTCTCGTCTGGTCTTTGCCACCCAATCTCCTTTCTGTCCCCAGCTCTGGTAGGGGTCGGGCCCTCCAGGCTGCCATGGACTGAGTCCTCATCTTGTGCTCCCTGGCTGGCTGGAGGCTCTGCGAGGGGAGCTGTGGCCCCCAGGCTGGTGAGGACGAGTCGCGGAACACCTGTCCCTGCGGTAACTGTGAATCTGAAGTGCATGAGGCAGGAGCTGCTGCATGTTAATCCAAGTCCCAAGGACCTGTAGGCGCCCCCAGCTGTCCCCGGGCTGCCCACCCAGGCCCCAAATACCAAACAATAGCTTAACCCTCCAGGAGCTGACCGAAGTTTCTTGTTCAAAGCAGTTTTATTTCCTCAAATTGCTCATTGTCTTTCTAAATGGAAGCCCCACCTCAGGTTGCGGGTGACTCTGGCCCTCAGCATTGGGTGGCCTTGATGCCAGGATGCTGAATGAGGTCACCCAGGCGAGACAGAGGCTAGGGAGGGAGACAGCGCCCCAGCAAGCAGGCTGGATGCCCGCGGAGGAAGGGCCTGTGCAGGTCAGAACCAGGACAGCACTGCAGGCAGCCGAGCGGCTGGACGGCCTGCTGGGTGAACTCGCCGTCCTCTCAGGAAAACCACAGGACTTTTCTGGTTGGTTTGGTTCAGTTGGGTGGCAATTGGTGGTGAGAGCAGCGGGGCTCTCGGCCATCCATGGGGCACTTCCTGCCTCTCAAAAGCCCTGCCACAACTCCCTCTGCGGCCCTGGGGAGAAAGGCCGGGCCTGTTTTCACTCTGGATGAGGAGCCTGAAGCCCCAAGAAGCAGGGGTGGAATCTCCCAGCCCAAGACTCCTCCCAAAGGACTCTGGAACCTCCTGAGACTCCCACCACCACGTCTCCCTGGGGATCCCTATGGGGGGCCTTTACCACCAGCTGAACTCCAGGACATTTGGGGTTCATCTTCAAAGGTCATGCTCACTTAGGGGGCAGCCTCTAGCATCTTCCTGGAAATTCCACAGCCCAGGGCCAAGCGGCCCCCATCCCAGATCATCACACAGCCACGGGGCAGCATGGAGGGCCTGCAGGACGCTAAGGCGAATATAGTTTTTCTGCCAAAACACCCCATAAAACGTATAACTAATGACTAAAATTGCAATGTTGCCAAGAAGGGAAATGTGCCCCAAATTTCTAAAAATACCTCAATTCCTCTCTTCCTGTGCTCCTTTAGACTCTGTGAGGGGAGCTGTGTCCCCCAGGCTGGTGAGGACCTAAAGCCAGCCCCAAACCAGGAGAGGTCCACCATCAACACGCCACCTGGGGAGCCCCGGCACAGGGCGCACGGCGCAGGGGGTAGGGGTCAGGGGGATGGGGAGGTGTCACCTGGGTCAAAGACAGAACCGCAGGAGTCCAGTGCAGCCTGCTCCCGCCTGACCCAAACCCAGTCTCCTCCACCCTCGAGGGCTGGGACTTCCTGCTCATTGCTTTGAAGCAACCAGAAAGGAAGGCTGAGGGGGACCCGAGGGGACCACAGTCTGGCTCCTGTGGACTGGAGGGCAGCAGATCTAGAATCTGGAAGCCAGTGGTCACAAACGGGGGGTCCTCACCACCACTAGATCTGCAAAGCCTGGAGGGTGAGGGGCCCGGGGGTGCTCGTCAGGGACAGGGTGGGGCACCCACAGCCCTCATGGGTTCTCAGAGAGGATTCGCACCTAAAGAAGGTGGGGAACCAGCCGTGCTGCTTTGCAGTTGTCTAGACAGGGCCTCCCGTTCAGAAGCACTTCCCTATCCTTCATGGACCCAAACGTCCAGAGACCCCAAGCCTGGGAGGCAGAAAGACCAGAGGTCACCATTCAGCTTTATTTCAATCCTCAAAACCTGAGTGCCACGTCACCAGATGCTGGGGTCCCCAGGGGCTCGTCCCTGAGGTCTGGAGATGAAGCAGATGTGGAGAGCATGAGTGGCCATCATGCCTGGGGGTGGTGAGGCGGGGGAGGCAGAGGGGAAGGCTTCCTGGAGGAGGGGGGATGCTGACCCTGTCCTCAGAGGGTAGGTAGAGACTGGCCCTTCAGGCTGTCTTCAGAGCTTCCAGACACAGCAGGAACTTCAGGGCGTGGGCTTTGATTCCTTAGCAAGCAAGGCCTTGTGGGCACAGCCCCTGCCTGCACCTCCCCTTGGCCCCCCGCAGCCCTTCCCAGGCGCCCAGGCTGTGCTCCACTCAACGAGGCTGTGGGCAGGAGGCTGCAGCCTTTCATCTCCACGGGGCTGACCTGCCAGCTCCCTCCTGCAGGGGCCAGGCTCCTGGTCCAGAGACTGGGATCAGAGGAAGCCCCAGGGAGCCTGCTGGCCCCTGCAGCCCTTTGATCCTGCCTCACCCCACTCAGCAGCTGACACTGCTGCCGGGCCAGGCCAGCTCAAGTAGGAGCCCGGCCCAGCCCGGGAGGCCAGCCTGCTGCTCTGCAGGGAGAGGGCAGGACCAGGACCGTTGCTTCATCCGTGTGATGGGCATGGCAGATCTGCCCAGCCCACCCGCCTCTCGGGCATATTGCAAGGATAAAGTGAGACGGGAGGTGGGAAGGCATTTGGGCCAAACAAAAAGAGGCCACCAGATGTCTTGGCAGGTCTGGAACTTGGAGTCGGAGCCCTGGCTTCCCGCCCAGGCCCGTCCCTCGCCAGGCCCCGCGCTTTGGGCAAGCTTCGCCGCGCTGGTCTCCAGACAGAGGGTGCCCGCCCTGCCCAGCCCGCCTCCCTGGCTAGCTCGGGCACCATATGAGATAATGGCTGGAAAGTGCTTTGAAAAGAAGCAAGTCCTGGGCCGACGTCAGGGATTATCACTATTATTAAGGAGCGCGAGTCCTGAAATCCAGCAAAGCTGCCACAAACGAGAGGCTCCCCTTGGCGTTGATTTAATTTCCTGGTTAACTGAGCGTTGGCAAGAAAAAAACTATTTCCAACCCTTATTGGAAATCTTTTTAAATTCCTCCCGTCTACGTTCTCACACCGGTCGAGGTGTAGGCATGAGTCTTTATTTATTAATGGCTTGATTGATTCACATATTCATTTCGTGCTTTTGCTCTGACCACATCCAAAAAAGCAGGTGCAGACTTGGCTTCTCCATGCCTGGGCCCCGCCCATCCCACTCTGGTGCTTAAACCTCAGCCGGGAAAGCTGGGGCCAGGGCCGGGGCCGGCACGGGAGGGCCTTCCACACAGTGTGTTCTGTACTTTCTCGTGGGATCTCTGTATATTCTCATTAGTTTCCTTAGAATTGTACAAGAAAAAAAAAAATAGCTTAAGAAATGCCTGCAGGTTTGGGTCAAAGGGCTCAGCCATTTCTTTCCAGGTGTGTCCAGGTGCATCTGTGGAGTGATATGATTGTTTTCAACAAATTCACAGGCTAAATAACAGCCTGACAGCTGCCTTTTCTTTGTTTGTTTTGTTTTGCAATAGGATCTTGCTAAGTTGCTCAGGGCCTCACTAAGTTGTTGAGGCTGGCCTTGAACTTGCGATCCTCCTGCCTCAGTCTCTTGAGCCGCTGGAATTACAGGCATGCACCAGGCTCAATGGCTTGTTGCAGCAAAGCCGCTACCCCACAAAGGCCCCTTGGCGTGTAACCATCAGAAATAGTGGTGGGCAGAAGGGACGAAGGGTGTTCAGATTGAATTCACTGGGGAGAGGCTGACCCTCTTAAATAGAACCATGTGGGGACCAGCGGTGTCCTCAAGGTCTCCAGCCTGACCAGGGGGTCTTCCATTTTTAAGCCCCAAACGGGCTTCTAAGGAGGAATCCCTAAGACCCTCCTGGGGGAGGCCACAGTGGAGAGTGTGGGTGGAGCTGGGTGCAGGAAGAGGACCCAGCCCTGAGAAGCAGGGGCCCCAGGCCTACAGCTCCTTCCCCCCCGGGAAGAAGGGCAGGACGGCACCTGGGTGGGGAGGTCCAGCAGGCTGTGATGAGAAGGCAGGCCTTGAACGCAGAGCGGGGACGAGGGACAGTGGGGCAGCTGCTAAAGGGGGCTGGGCAGGGATACAGCTGACCTCACAGATGGGGTCCTTGGTCACATGCTTGCCTGCTGGTGTGGAGGTCGGCAGCACCAGGGGACACTGGTCAATGTCTGGAGACTATTCCTGTTGTCACAGTAGACAAAGGAGGAGTTTCATGGCAGGGGGTGGTAGAGGCCCCAGAGGTCACTACCTTCCCACAGTCCCCAGGACGCTCCCCAACAGAGGATCACCCAGTTCCTGGCATCAGTGTGCCCAAGTCGAGCAAGCCTGGGGTGGGGCAGTCCCTGCCTGCACCTCTGGGGGCCTGGGGCGCCTGCCCTGGACATCCTCTGTGCCGCCCGCATGCTGCCCGTCTCTGTGCTCTCCCCCCAGAACCCCGACATCGTCCTGGTGCACTACCTGAACGTGCCGGCCATCGAGGACTGCGGGAAGCCCTGCGGCCCCATCCTCTGCTCCATCAACACCGACAAGAAGGAGTGGGCAAAATGGACGAAGGAAGAGCTCATCGGGCAGCTGAAGCCCATGTGTGAGTAGCCGCACGGGGACCAGCCGGTGCCATCCAGGCGGGGCCAGGGAGGATCCCCAGCGGCCATGGGGTCCCAGCCACGGAGCCCCATCTTGCTCAGATGATGGCGCTGCTGGGAACCTGGCTTTCACAAAGCTCCCTCATGTCCCTACGTCCGCTTGATCCTCAGGAGCCTCCTCTGTGACTCCCAGGCACAAGATGTCAGGTCCATATGACCGACGTGAGGCTTAGAGACACAAAACAACAGGCCAAGCATGCCCTGGGCCTGTGTCTCCATGCCCAGACAGGAAGCAGGGAGGCCAGGGAGGGGAGGACCTGGACCAGGGGTTGCCTCGGCCCAGACTGGGTGGGGAACCCTTGATGGTGATGGAGCTGGATTCCATTTTGTCAGCAAAGCAAAGCTTTCTGAAGCCGTCAGGTGCGAATCACTGAGTGCAAATCACAGTGAGTCCAGGAGGCTGAGGCTCAGCTGTCCCTTGCTTCTGTGGGCCACAGCTCCTGGCCACTACAGGGCTCTTAATGCCACTCCAGCCCCTGACAGCTGGGCTCTGCAAGAACAGACCCAGGGCTGCCAGCCTGAGAGGAGCGCGGAGTCGGCTGGTGCCAACAGGGGCCCCAGGGTGCAGGGTTGTCCATCACCCAGGCTCAGGACCTGAGAGAGCCCATCTGTGGGTCTCTCCAAACCAGGGCCACCTTGTCAGGCACCACATACAGCAGAGCCACTAATGTGTCCCTTCCTTGGAGATCCGAGCTAAGGCTGGGGCCACCTGCAGTGATCAGCTCGTCCTGAGTCTCCTGGAGGCTCACACAGCGGCCCCCCAGCCTCAAGGCTGGGGATGAGGGGCAGGAAGGACAAAGGGTCCTCCACGGGAAGAGAGGCCTTCTAGGGGCAGTAGCTCGGCAAACACCAAACTTCCTCTCATGCCATCCTCTGAGCCAAGTGCCCCCAGCTCGGGGGATCCGGCCGGTCTGGCCTCAGTGCTGCTGCCTGGAACCTGGAACCAGGTGGCCCCAGGGCCTCTCGAGGTCCGTCTCCTTGCTGCCCTCCTGTCTTCACTGGCCTCCCACCCACTCACTTTTAGAGCTCAGCCCATACAGCCCCTTCCTCTGGGCCCCTCACGCATGCACCCAGCGTGGGGGCCTCCTCAAGACCCCCAGGGGAGACGTCTGTATGAAATCAGCCCCCATCGTGATGAGCCAGAGTGGCCGCCGGCCTCTTCCTCCTGCTGCAGAGCATGGCGAGGCTCGGGAAGCTCCACAGAGAACTCCCGGGAGCGCCTGCTCTCTGCACAGCACTGGGCTCACGGGGCTCACAGAAGGAACCATGGACTGTGAGCAGGGCCCCGAGCAACAAAGGCCCTGGAGCTGAGGCCACCCAGGGACACCTTCCCAAGGCCAGACCAGTGGGCCTGGCACCAGAGGGCCTGCCCCCCACTTCTGATCCAGCATTGAGGGGTGCAGTCTAGCCCTGGGTGTGGGACTCCACCCCTCCCCACCCTGGCCTGCTCACCCTTGCTCCTGGGCCAGAGCAGGGACTGCTCGTGCTGGGCTCTGGGGCCACCTGGCCAGGGCAGCAGGGAGAGCCAGAGCTGGGGAGGCAGCTGGGCCCTGGTCCTGGCTCTGAGGCTGCCTCACGGGTGACCTCACCACCCTCTCTGCTCTCCAGTTCCCCCTCCTCAAAGGCCAAGAGTCCAACCAGCTGGACAGGGCTCACTCAGCTCCTGGCTTGGGTCCCATGACCAAGGACAAGGGTTCCTCCTCCCTCCCATTTCCTGGGAGTTGGAGTCACTGCAGGTGCTTCAGGATGGCCAGAGTCAGGTGCTTCCGCCCCTTGTCCAAATCCTCAGTGTCCACTGTTGGAGATGGCAGCTGTGCCCCGTCCTCTCCGGGCCTGCTGTCCTTTCCCCTGTTCTCCAGCAGGAGCGACTCCTGTCAGATCCCACTGCGCATTAGGGCCCCTTCAGCAGAGAGAGGCCCATCTCACAGCCAGGAGCAGCCGCTGGCCCAGCACAGGCCCGGGAGTGCAGGAGCAGGGACCCGCCAAGACATGCTTCCAAGAGGAGCCTTCCCTGGGAAGGTGGCCGCAGCCCCGGCCTGGGCCTCCCAGACATCTCTCTCCTCCACCGACAGTGCTTCTCCCCAGGCCACCCCCTCACCATTTTCCCTGGCACCTCCACCTACAGGAGCGCCACCTCCGGGCTGGGTGGGGGACTTGGGCTCCTCGGACTCCAGGAGGTGAAAGCCAGACCTGTGTTGGCCTCGGACGCTTAGCTGGAGGGGCTGAGTGCCTGCTCAGAAACCTGCAGTGCACCACGGAAATTATGTAAAACGACAGCAAACTCCCCCTAAATCCAATAATGCTCCTCTCTCGGGTCTCGGGGGCGGGGGGCAGAGCGGCAGCGTGGCTCAGAGCTTGGCTGCGCCTGGCTCCGCTTACAGAGAGACGCAGCCCGGGAAACACGGCTCCCGGAAACGCTTTAGATGCCGATCAGGCCTGGAGCACGCAGAGGGCACCAGCTAGCCGTGTTTGGGAGAGCACAGGTGTGCTGAGAGCCAGGAAGCCATCAGATTTGGTTCCAGGATCCGGAGTGCCACCCAACGTCGCAGCCAAGCACATTAGCTTCATCGCATCTTCACATAAATCACAGTCCTTCAAAGACTTCACAGTTGGATTTCCTGATGTTTCCAAATTTCTCTGCCCTACAGCAGAGTTGTCAGTGCCTTAATCAAAATGTTGTACTTATCGGCGGGAAAGGGAAACGCAGATCCCCGGCCCTGCCTCACCTGTCGTGAGATGGAGCTCAGGTCTCCTATCTCAGGTATCGCAGATACCGGTTCCTGAGGCAGATGGGTTCTGAGGGTGCCACTGTGATTCTTGCAACCATGCCCTTTGGACAGAAGGGGCCTTCTCTTCAACCTACAGTCTGAGGAATGCCTCTCCAGATAAACACACACAGGAAAAAAAAAATTGAGCTGGGCACAGAGCCGCACGCCTGTGATCCCAGCAGCTCAGGGCTGAGACAGGAGGATCCCAAGTTCAAAGCCAGCCTCAGCAAAGCAACTCAGTGAGAACCTGTGTCTAAATAAAAGAGATGTGGCTCAGTGGTTGAGTGCCCCTGGGTTCAATCCCCGGTACCCACCCCCCAAATTAAGATGTCTGGTAGAATTCCCGATATGTTTCCAAAGATCCTTCCTGTCCTCTGTAACCCCTTCCATAGTAGTTAGAATATAGATCCGGCTGCTAGGGAAAATACCAAAATAACAGTGGCTTAAATAAAACAGAAGCATGCTTCCCTCTCACATGATTTGCAGTGTGGGGTTGATGTGGCAGGTCCCCGTGGAGGCTCCTTCGGGCTGGCTACTCTGCCATTCTCAGGGAGTTATTCTCTTTTAATGATCCAAGTGGCTGCTCCCACTCCTGCCATCACAACTTCATTTCAGTCAGTGAGAAGGGGAGAAGAAAAAGTGGAGGGTAATCTTCTTCCCTTTAAGGATAAGTTCCAAAAGGTACGTACATAATTTCCACTCATATGTCATATGGTCACTCCTGGTTGCAAAGAAACCTGGGAAGTATAGTCTTTTGCCAAGCACTTTGAGGAATCAGGTTCTGCGCGTGGATGATTCAGGGCGCAGCAGAGCTGCGCTCAGCCTGTGGCTTCATCTTCCTGGCTCATGGTGTACAGAATCGCTCATCTCAGTTCAAGGAAGGCCTGGGATGATCGTCGGGGGTCCCATCTGACGACTGGAGTTTACAGGACTCAATGAGCAGCAGGTGAAGTTCAGTGAAGTTCGGCTCACCCTGGGTATGCCAGGGCCTCTTCCAAGGCAGCTGGTTGGCGGGCACCAGCTCTGCAGCCGGCTCACTCCCCGGTGTGAGCCAGGCCCAGGCAGGTGCCGGTCTCCCTCCTGGATCAGCCTCCGGGAGACAACCCAGTGGGGGCTGGTCTCAGCCGGGTTCTGTGCCTGGTTCTGCCAGGCTGGGGGGAAACTTGGCCAGAGGTTCTAGGCCGCTGCCCCCACCTTCCAGAGCCCACCTTCCCCTCTGAGAGCATGTGGCCTTCTGCCCTGGCCTGTTTCTTGGCAGCTGGACAAGGACAGACATGCCGGCCACCTCCCAACCAGCAGGGGGTGAGGATGCATCAAGTGAGGGACAGGGGCGTGGCTCCAATGTTGTGTCCACAGCCCGCCCAAGTGGTGAGCCCGCCCAGCTGTGCCCACCTAGGCACACTCCTGGAGTGCCCTGGCTGGCTGGCTCTGCATCGCCAAGCAAGGCCTCCCCAACCCCAGATGTCACTGGGCAGATCCGTCCACTCCCCTGGCCCGGGCTCTACCCGGCCTTCCTGGACCCTGTGCCCCTCCCGGCCCCGAGGCCTCTGTGTCCTAGGCAGCACTGGGAGGGGAAAGCAGATCGGTGGGGGGGGGGGGGCAGCCTGGCCCCGAGGCCTGCACCCTGCCTGAGCCATGCCACGCCTGTGGCTGCCCCGGGCCAAGCCCTCCTGCCTCATGAGTGTACGCCCACCTGCTCACTCGGCTGCCCTCGCAGCCACAGCATGTGTTCAGGGACAGGCGACACACGTGAGCTAGCAGGGAGATGCTCGGTTCCCCGGACCCCACTCCCAGAGCAGCCTGGCCTCCACGCTGGGAGGTCCAGACCAAAGGCACTTGCAGGAACAGACACCAGTCAGGCCACGTCACACACCCAAGCGCTGCCCCTGAGAAACCGCTCTCCGGGCTGGGACAGCAGGAAGGGTGGAGGAACTTCCAGGAGCGGACAGCAGCTTGATGGAGCCTCGGCCTCGGTGAACCGCCCCTCCTGGTAGGTGTCATGGCCTCTCTGAGCCTCCACACCCTCCTTCCTGCACAGGGATGATGATGGCCCTCAGGCCCCCTGCCTTTAAATGACGTCACAGAGGTAAAGGACAGTGTGTCCAGACGGCAGCCACACCGTGAGGGGAAACCACCCGAAGCAAAGCGCCAGCTGTCTCCAGAGCCTGGACCTG